TTTTTTCCCTGTGTGGGAGCTTATGATGATGTAAGTAAAACTCAATCCAAAGCCTATGAAAGGAAATTCACAGCAAAATTTGCATGACAGGCTCCAGCTGGGAGCATCAGCCTGCTGTCCAATGCTGAGGGCCCGGTGTTCTCACTGCACTGTGCCTGCATGCACTCTGCAAGCATGCATGGGGCTTGGGTCCTCCACAGGGGCTTCAGCCTTCCTAGGCAGGCCTTTGCTTTCAGACCTACAGGATTTATATCCAAAGAAATGGTACAAATGAAATGAGAACAGTCTCTCTTCTTTGCCATATTACTCTCCCTGAAAGAGCAATTGGCTGAAAAGGTCGAGCTCACAAATTTCGATCACCATCCTGTCTTGACCTAAAACAGACTCTGCAGAAAGCGTTTTCCTTTTTCATGCTTATTTTCATGAATGCATCTCTAACTTGCCTGAAAGCATTCTGAGGGTAGGATAATGCTATGTATCCTCATCTGTAGCATCCACTTGCTCACCACATCGCTTAATCAACAAATACAAAAGGGATGGTCTCAGCCATTGGTCCATATCATTAAACTTCCCTATCCTTTTCCTCTAGCTGGGGGAGCATAAGAAATAACCAAATGGCTAAAGCTTTTTCTTCTAAAATATCTGCTTCTGCAAAATGGCATGCGTAGGCTTCTTGTTTGCTGTATTTGAACTCTTCCTTCTCATCTGAACCACTTTATTGACATTGAGGCTAAGATTCAGGGTCAAAGAATCATTAAATGGTTTAGCTGATGTTTCAGAACCAGCATCCACTCTATTAAGAGCCCCAAGAATCAGAGAATCTGGCCTGATACTCTTGATTCTCATGAACATAGGCAGCAGAGCCATCTACTCACCTTCCATCTCCCTCCCTCAACCAAAGGTATGGGACTATGGAAACAACCTCACAGCTGGCTGGAGAGAGGAGGTCATGGACTCATTTAATACTGGATTAAAGGAGGAGGTGAATATGAAGCAGTTTCTTCTTAGCCAACAGGTGCTCATTTCTGTTAAGAAATGGAGTAAGCTGAATTTTGCAATATTGCAAAGTTATAGACAATTGCTTTCTTTCGAAAGCTAGAATTCCTATCAGAACTTATTGTCTCTACCCCTTGGGAAGGTGGTGACTCAAAAGGAGCAGCTTCCATTTACTGAATGTCACAGACGCTATTAGGAGCCCATACTTTAGAAACAGATGCGTGCATCTGAATCCCTGCCTGCCGCTGACAGGCAGTGCAATCCCTGAGCCTCGGGTTTCTCAACTGTAAAATGGGGCAACGAATAACCTACTTTAGGAGGAGGTATTGTAAGGCTTGGAGAACTACTGCATGTAAAATGCTCTAGGCAGGCTGTGATGTTTCAGCTTCTCCTGTCAGCACTGTGTACTGCACTGTGCCGAGGGTTAGATACAGCTGCATTTAATTTCTGCATTAAGTAGCTACTATTATCACCACACTTGACAGAAGAAGAAACTGAGGCTAAGAAAGATTTAGTGACTTGCCCAAGGACAGACAGTAAACAGTGGCAAAAATCAAAGCCAGGCCTATCTGATTCTAACCCTGTGCACTTCCTGCTACCTCACACTGCTTCCTGGAAGGCTGTATGCGCGCACACATGCACACGCACACACACACACACACACACCCTACAATACCATTTCCTATCAGAATTAGAAAGGCATGCTTATAACTGGAACACAGAAAAAGATGTGAACCTCATTATCTACGGATTACAAGTATCTCTCAATCAAGCTGTTTCCTTCTTGAGTACAAGGACTATATTTTTGCATCTTCCCTAAAGAATAGAGCACACAGTTCTGAACACACAATAGACACTCAATTAATACTCTCCGGATTTACATGGAAATTCACGTAGGAAAGTGGAACCGTGCCGATTCAGAATACTTGATCAAACAACCGAAATACACCATGAATTCCCTAAAGCATCGAAAGACTTGCCTAACACAAAGCATGTTTTCTGGAGACAATGAGAGTTTTGATCTCAAGCTAAACATTTCTCATCTCATCAAAAACAGTGGGTGAGTGGAAACAATTCACGCCAGGTCTCCAGGTGGAATTAGGGGAAAGGCCTCCCATGTGACCGCTATAAAAACTAATTTGAAAAGAACACAATCTTAGGCTTGTGTTTGTTTTTTTTCCCCAAGTGTTAGGCGGGGTACTGCAATCTTGTTATTTCTGAGTACCACCAAACATTCTAAATCCCTTTCTCCATCTGAGGACAAGTGAGGATTATGGGCCCCAGCCTCACTGCGTGGGTCTCTATGCAAAGATTTCCAAGCAGAGAAGCTTTGGGGTGGGGGAGGTATGCCTATGGCCCAAAGCAAATGGGGAGGGGAATGAATGAAAAGAAACTGCATACAAACTGATTTATTTCGAGGAACTTTTAGCCCAGATTTTTTTGGCATGTCTATATTTGCTGATTTCTGCGTATGGTAGAGCCTCAACATGCATTTTTATCTCTTCCTGATTTAGAGGTAAGTGGTACAGCAGAGAGGCAGGGATGGGCCTAGAAAGGGTTTGGAGGGCGATATTAAAGATGATGATGACAAAAGTAAAACTCTGTGAACTCCTTAGTCATGCTGGAATGCAACTTGTTGTCTAGTCGGCGAGATAGATTGGGTTTGTTCTTATATGAAGAGTCTCTTGTGGTCTGGGGATAAGAGCAGAGTCTAAGATTTAAGAAGTCTGTACTGAAGTTCTCATTCTGCCACTTCCTAGAGCTTTCTGATCTCTGGCAATGGACTCAACCTTGTTGAACTTTAGTCTTCTCATCTGTAAAATGGGAATAAGAATGATACACACTTCAAAGGAATATTGAGAAGATAATATGAGATGATGCCCATAAAAAGACTTAGTATTGTGGGCACCCAGCAAATGCTGGCTACCTCTGCTGTTCTTTCCATCATTTCTAGGAAGAATGCCCTGCTCTGGAGGCTGAGGCATGAGAATCATGCTTGAACCCGGGAGAGAGAGACTGCAGTGAGCCAAAATCACACCACTGCACTCCAGCCTGGGCAACAGAGTGAGACTCCATCACACACACAGAGAAGGTTGTCCTGTAAACGTATTCTTGTAAAGTGTGCTGCATTTTCATCCACATGTAATGATGAATACTTAAAGAGTGCTACTCAGTGTATTTTGTAGCTAATTTCCAAAATAACCGGCGGGGAAAGCCGGACAGACATTATTACCCTCGTGTTACAGGTGAGAAAACAGAGGTTTTGACAATGAGGGATCTACTGGAATTCATCAACCAGCAAAGGTCAGGCCAGGAATGCAGCTCACATCTGTCTCCAGCACTTCATCCACAGCTACGCTGCAGGAAACCAAAACACCCCAGAAGAGGGAACTCTAGTCTGCTCTGATCTAGCCTATTCATTTATTGCTTGGGACCGAAGTGGATTTTGCAACCCTTGTAGGTTGTGACCTGCAGTTTGCAAAGCACCTGGGTCCCAATGCCAAGTGAAGGGTCTGTCCCTTCAGAATAAGCTGGGGAGTTCTTTGCACTGATGTGTGTTTGAATTTTTACTGCAGGAATTTTCTTTTTTTTTTTAATTGCATTTTAGGTTGTGGGGTACATGTGATGAACATGCAAGACTGTTGCATAGGTACACACATGGCAGTGTGATGTGCTGCTTTCCTCCCCATTACCTATATCTGGCGTAGAAAGTTTCAAACATATGCAAAAGTAGAGATAAGAGTACTATAGTCCCCAGTGCTGATCTCCCAGATTCCTGGGATGAAGGCTGCTCTGTCTATACCTCTGGCCATTTCCTCCACTCCCTGTTTTTTAAAGGAAATATTGGGGGGGATATTAAAACAATCCAGACTCCCCTATGCCTTGTAAACTCAGGTCTAGCAGGTCTGGGGTGGCTTGGGATTTGTGGTTCTCATGGCTGCCTCTCCAGGTGACATGGAAGGACAGCCACCCTGTAGCCACAGAGCTCGGTGGTACCTGAGGGCACTACCATTTGCAGGTGACAAGCAAGTGGGTTCTGGGAAGGAAAGTGGGCAAACCCTTCAGCTCTGCAGGCTCGCGAGGCTGTCACAGAGGACAGAGAGCCCTGCCACACACACAGTGGCAGAGGCAGAAAGGGGTGAGACCACAGCGAGGAGGCTGGTCCCCTGAGCCTGTAACGAAGGCTGTCTCCAGAGAGGACACCCCCTGCTGCTGAGGCTCTGTGGCTGGGCCTCCACCTGCAGTGAGCCACTGACCAGCTTCCCGCTCACCTTTGTTTCCCCAGAGCATGGCACAGTAACTGTTGACTTGGGGGAGTTGTGTGAAACTGATGACATTTGACTGCTCCTGACCTTCTCAGTGTCACCTTTATGATTCCACCACAGATCTAGTAGGCATTCAATACACGTCCAATGAAGGAATCAACACAGACAGGTTATCAGGGCTCTCACATGCCAGCTGCCAAGTTAGTATTTCTAGTTGACCCAACCATGGTGCAAGGTGGCTATGACATCTCCAATCTATAGCTGAGGAAACTGAGCTAATCTATGTAAACCAAGTGTTTAGCACAGCACCGGGTGATCACTGCATGCTCACTGTGTGGCAACAATCATCATTATTATCCAAAGCCAGACAGAGCCCCAGCAACTGCGTTAGGACTTGAACCCAGGCCTGCTGGCTCCAGTCAGCCTGCCTTGCAGTGTCTGTCCTGGAAGAGCAGTAACCAGAAGCCATGAAAGATGATCAGTGTCAACAGGGGTACAAAAACCCAGACCACTTGGCAAGTCCCAGACAATGTGTCATTTCACAGTGAGGGGCAGGGCTGAGGGAGCTGGTCTAGAAGATTCTCACGGTGCACTGCAATATTTCACGGACACAGGGTGGCCTGCAGCTGACTGTCTTGCTGGTGGCCTCACCTGCACACAGTGAAAGCCAGCAAGATTTTGCCGGGCAGACCCTCAGAGGCCGGAGGGCTCTGCTGAGGAGGGGCGGCTGCATCTTACCTCTTGGCTCTGTCTTTCTCATCTTCATCCATTAGATTTTCTATGCAGTTTTTCCTGCAAAAGAAATTTTAAAAGAATGGATAATTACTGTATGCTTCTAGATCTTTCTTAAAAGTCTTTCAGGTTGTCATCATTTTGGTCTTAGCCCAGCGGTTCTCAAACTTGATCCCGGCACACCTTTACACTCTCAAAATGGACCGAGGTCTCCAAAGCACTCCTGCGCATGTGGGTTAAAGCTAAGAAATGTTTAAATGCACAGGCACTCATCAGGCATTGGAGCAATGAAGTCAGCAGATGTCAAGTAACTTCTGGAAAACTCAGAACACTCATATTCTGCACACTCCTGAGACAAGGAGAGCTCTTTTAAAAGGAGCAAATAACGAGTTAATGATATTTTGAAAACAATGTCTTGACTTCGAGGACCTCAGGGGTCTCCAGACCACACTTTGAGAACTGTTGTCCAGACCTGCTCAGTGAAGCAGCATCTGTTCATCTCATGCGTTAGGTCACAGGCACTTCCCAGCGCCCGCCTGGGATCTATTAACGACGCTGCAGCAGGACCCATTCACTTCTGCCTGCAGGACCCCAGTGGCCTATGACATTGTAAAGGAGAGCATTTCTTTATCTGTCCATTCAAACCACACAAGCTACAAGCTCCTCTGACAGGTGGCCTGGAGGAATCGGCCCCAAAGGAGTGTAATCTGCAGTTCCTCCTTTAAGGCATTTACTCTGCTTGAGACAGTGAAAGCACACAGATGTGAAAGATTAAGTAACAGTCCAGGAATGTTCTTCCTCACCGCCTGAGCCTCTACTCTCCCAAGACACCGGCTGGATGCCTCTCAGGTCCACGGATCCAGCTTCCTCTCTCACCGCATGCAGGCCTGGCTTCCCTCTACCCCTCAGAGCTGCACAGCCCCGGTTCATTTCTTCATTCACACATTTCCCAGAGCCCTGCCTTTCTGGGGTGTGCCCCCCAAATCAGTACACCAAGCAGAACCATTCTCAGAGTGCTCATGAGGCTGATGCCAGCTGTGGGAGTGGGAAGCTGAAGGCTGTGGTGGCTGGGAGGGCAGAGCGTGGTCGAGGTAAGGGTGAGGACCATGGAGAAGCTGAATCACCACTGCCCACACGCCACTATGCTCAACGCACAGGGTCTTCGGTCGGCACTTCCAAACCAGCCCTTTGCAAATGCACCACCAGTTACTCTTGAAACGTGAAGTTTCAGATAAAAATTTTCAATGGGGCCAATCAATCTTTCTCTGAGCTCATTTAGTTTTTTGATTTTGGTCAACTATGTATACAAACATGGGTCTCAGCCAAAGCAAAGATGAATTCTGTAGCCACAGTCCCTGTTTACATAATGCCCATGCAGTCAACAGCAGGCATAGTCCATGATGGACTAGCAAGAAATGCTGCTTAGAAGTTGAGGCCTGTATCCCAATTGAGTCAGAGTTAACACATCTGCAAACAGGCCAGTGCTTAATGTTTTCCAGATGGAATCCATTCAAAGTTTTATGTCAGTTCATTGAATAATGCCCTACCCCAAGCCTGTGCTTCCAAGGAGAATGGTGGCTTCCCAAGGCCCTAGGGTGTGAGCGAGGACCCAGCGGCCCTGTGTTCTTTATCAGGACCCCCTGGACAGAGCCTGTCCACAGGAGGGCTGGCTGCTGTTCTCAGTCTACTCTCCTGAGCTCCTGGGATCCTGTTTGGATGACCAGGGTGGCTGAGTCACAAACTAAACATCTAAAAATGACTAATAGCTACTCTTTATCAACCACATCTTCTTTGATTTATATGTTTAGCCTTCAGACATTTCCTGAATCTATAAAACCTGGATGCTCTACACCCATTTCCTCTTCTTCAGCATCCCTCTCATTTCCCTGTCCTGTTCCTCTCACTTGACCCCTGACTAACCAATTAAGCTCTACACCCATTTCCTCTTCTTCAGCATCCCTCTCATTTCCCTGTCCTGTTCCTCTCACTTGACCCCTGACTAACCAATTAAGCTGAACTGCACCCAGTGTGAGGAGAAGGCCCCTAAGCTGAGTTCCCATTGCACCTGCCACAGAAGCTCTGTGCTGATATTTTTACATTTTGTCACCTCTGTGTCTACCATGTTATTTTTTTATTTAAAAATACACCTCACAGGCTGGGCTCAGTGGCTCACGCCTGTACTCCCAGAACTTTGGGAGGCCGAGGTGGGCAGATCACGAGGTCAGGAGATCGAGACCATCCTGGCCAACATGGTGAAACCCCGTCTCTACTAAAATACAAAAAAAATTAGCCAGGTGTGGTGGCACATGCTTGTAGTCCCAGCCACTCAGGAGGCTGAGGCAGGAGAATTGCTTGAACCTGGGTGGCAGAGGATGCTGTGAGCCTAGATTGTACCACCTGCACTGCAGCCGGGGTGACAGAGCAAGACTCCATCTCAAAAAAAAAAAACACGCCTCACAAATTTACCATCTTAACCACTGTAAGTGCACAGCTCAGTGGCATTAAGTACATTCATACTGTTGTGCAACCATCACCATCATCCATTCCAGATCTCTTTGACCTTGCAAAGCGTAAACCATCATTAAACAAGAAGTCCCCATTCCCCACTCACTCCAGCCTTGGCAACTGCCCTTCTACTTTCTGTCTCTATAAATTTGACTATTCCAGGTCTGTCATGGAAGTGGAACCATACAGTGTTTGGCTTGTTTCACACAGCATTATGTCATCAGGCTTCATCCATGTTGCTGCATGGGTCAGAATCTCCCTCCCTTTTAAGGCCGAGCGATAGCACATTGTATGCAAACTCAGTGTTTTGCTTACCCACTCATCTGTCCATGGACACGAGCCACTTCCACCTTGGCCGCTGTGAGTGTGGGTGTCCTTCCCCCTTGTGTTTTACAGTCACCCTTTTACTTAATAGGGAAGATTTGGAAACGGCTTGAAGGCAAACAAGGAGCAGAACGGAAGGGAAGAGAAGTCCTCTGAAGTCAGGTTAAAGGAATCACAAAGAAGTTTAGGGGGTGACAACGACTCTTCTCGAAGATATAGAGTTTTCAGTGAGAAGGATTTTGAGCAACTGTTTTTTTTTTTCATTTGACCACAGACTGCTAGAAAACAGGAAAGGAGCTTAATTGAAAGCAGAGGAGGTTTTATTTGGAGCTGAGACGTAATGGTTGAGGTGATTAACCCCCGGAGTGAACAGTGGAGGGATGCCATACAGTCTTTTCCCCAGATAATCACGTGTCCTACGTGGAGTAGACGGTCACAAGGTGTATGAACCAGGGTCCCAACAGGGAAACAGACTGCGGTTGGGATCCTCTGAGGAGCATTGATTTACGGGAGGCTCTTTATAAAGGTGTGAGCAGGGACTAGGGAACCAAGTGGGACAGTGCGGTGGGGAATGGCAGAGCTGTGAACACTCTAAGGGGAAGGGACAAGAGGGAAATGATTTCCCAAACCTGGAAGGAGTGTGTCCCATAGGAGGTGACCTTCAGTGAAGGAACAAGGAGGGAGCCAAGGGAATAAACACCTCACTCATTCTCCACCCACCCTCCAATCTCCTGCTGCGTCTCCTTTAGCCATGTCTGCAGGATCCTCCACACAGGGGAGCCTCAGGGTCACATGCCTGGTGACAATCATCTCTCAGGCGCTCTTCCAGTTCTGAGTTCCTTGGGTTTTCCTAGAACACAAACTCTCTGGAATCTTTTTAAGCTTCGTAACATCTCCTCAAGTTTGAAAACCAGGCATCTGCACCTAGCAAATGACCACACAAGAAATGATCATAATAACAATAACTATGGAAGCCTGAAGAAAAGAGAGGCTGAGAGGGGTTCCCAGAACAACCTGAGCAACAAAACAAGTGACAACTGTATTGATTACAGCCTGTGTATTGATTAGTACAAACTAAATACTCATGAGTCTAGACGGACACAAATAAACAAATGGGGAGGTAGGAGGAGGGAGGAGACAGCGTCACCTTACAGAAGATTCCAATTAACACATGTAGAAGGAACGAAGGCAACAGAAAATCACCATCATGGCTCATGCCTGTAATCCCAGCTTTTAGGGAGGCAGAGGCGGGAGGATAGTTTGAGCCCAGGAGTTTGAGACCTTCCTGGGCAATATAGTGAGACTCTGTTCTCTACAAAAAGGAAAAAAAAAAAAGAAAAGACAAAAGAAACGAAAAGAAAGGAAAGGAAAGGAAGAGAAAATTACCATCAGTATACTATAGTAATCATTGTTTCAGGCAAGATCCACCAATGGATGCTAAAATTAATGGAAAAAAGGTTGGGGAGAAACAGGATATTTGCAGAGTTCCAAATTATCTCCCTCAAGATATTTATTAATTACAAAAGAAAAACATTTTACAGGAAAGAGGGTTAGCAGACACCACTTTCACCTACTGGTCAACATGAACATCACCAGTGTTAAGTCACATAGAAGTCTCTGTGGAAATAAGCACTCATTCCTCTTGGGTGTGTACCACTCGGAGTACCATTCTTGGAACATGGGGCAGCTGTATGCTTACTTTACTAAAAACTGCCAGGCTGTTTTCCAAAGTGACTGTACAATTTTATATTTGCACCAGTAGTGTACAGGAGTTCTAGTGGCTCCATTCTAACATTTAGTATTGACTTCTTAATTTTAGTAATTTTCGTGGGTGTGTTATGAGATCTCATTGGGATTTGTGTTTCCCTGATGACTAATGATGCAGAGCACTTTTCACTGGCTATTTAGGTGTCTAATTCTTTGCCTACTTAAAAAAATTGGGCTGTTAGTCTCCATCATACGGATCATAGAAGTTTCTCTCCATTGAGTACAAGTACTTTGTCAGAAAATACGTATTGCAAACATTTTCTCCCAGTCTGTGGATGGCCTTGGTGCTTTTTGGGTGGTATCTTGTGATGAGCAGTTTTAAATTTTGATAAAGTTGAATTTATCAACTTTTATTTTATGGTTAGTGATTTTTGTATTCTAAAATATATTTGCCGCTTCAATGTGGTCAAGAATTATCCTGTTTTCCTCTAGAAGCTCCATCACTTAACTTTCACATTTGGATC